CCGGAAAAGCACCAGACGCGTTCGCCCTATTGGGGCTCGTCAGTGGTGCGCATTCCCTCGGTCCCCTACTAGGGATCGAACTCATGACCGTTAGAGGCTGACACCAACTAGCCAGCCACTGAGAATGCTGAATTCCAGACCGTGAGTTCAAGTGACGAGTGTGATGCCACGAAGCTGACATCGGAAGGATAAGCGCCATGCATGATCGAAATCCAAGCACATACCACTCAGAAAAGAGATCAGCAGTACAATGGTAGTTCGTTGTCATGCAACCACCACCAGTCGCGTGCGGGTTAGAGGTACACTGCAAAGTCACCCGTACCTAGGCAGCCTGGATCCGACAAACCATGGATTATAACCTACATGTCTACACAGATGTCGCACTGGCCGATAATCGTGCACTGACGTGTGTCATCTGCAAATCGATTTCAGTCCTGGGCACTACTGAGATAAGTGGGTGTCCGGAGGTATTAAAGGTACGCGTCACAAAGCAACGCTGCTGGTACACATGTTGTGGTCGGCATATAGATGAACAAATGGGTCACTATTGTGTACTACCCAAGTGCGTCAATCCCGAAATAGCTTTTGAATTATTACTCGGAGCCGGATATGTGATTCAACTGAAGACATGAGAGAGAGTCCAGCACCTAAATTGATAACCGTATTTTACGAAGCATGGATAAGAGACGACAACCACCTGTGAGATACAGTTGATTGATAGTTGCAAATTCAGACGACGCCCGGTCACCCTTAAGGGAGTCCGAATTATGAATACTAAGAATATGAAATTAGCAGACATGCTCCTGTGCTGCTTCATCGATACTATGTCGCGTGCACACGTGAAATAACGCCGTTTATTACATTGCAATGTCAAGGCAATTCGGCTGTGTGACGTCCTATTCGGGTGTGATGCGCTATTGAATTCTGTACTCCGCAAAGGAAGCCTTTGAGAATTTTATGTATGTTTCGGAGACAGAGAGAACATTGATTTCAAGGAAGTGCTGACTCCTAATCGATATCATCTACCGTGCAAACTTAGAAAGATCCAATGTTAAAATGAAACTTTGACGTAAAGGAGGAACTAGGTGTGCCGTTAGTGTGTGCCACGATGTTACAGGTAGTTCTTGGCTCGGCAACCAGCTCTTTCTTTCTCTCTCTCTGCCGTCCACCCAGTCTATGTGACATCACCTCGGGGAGGCAAAATCTGTTCTATCCGTGTGTAAAGCATTATAAACTTGAAATGAAAAAATACGTTTTCATTCTGCCCGGAAATGGTTTATGCCGGAAGCTGAAGTACAACGCAGTGTGCTTAAATATATCTCGCTGGTGGTAAGCTGGTTATTTGTTTTTTGTAGGCAGTGTTAAGAAAGTATCTCAGTGTTCAATAGCCAGCAGGACTCACGAGAACAAATCCTGGAAGAGCGTGACTGGACGATAAACCTGATGTCTAGCAGACCAAAACCATTCAGTAGAATGTCTCCAAGAGCATAGACAAGAGGAAGTGGGGTTAGACAAGCTCGAGAAAGCATTTACATTGTAAAACAGTTGGCGACTCAAATGCGTGACGGTGCAGGTTAACAGTGTGTTTCGAAGAATGTCACAAGGAAGCCAACCAACATTGTGTACCAATAAAGAACATAAGCGTGCACGAATGTATATAGGTCCCAAAATAAAGTTTAAAATACTTAGCGAGCAAACAACATTCTAGAGTCAGATGTTGACTTAGTATTTTTTTCTACAACCTAACATACGACATGGGAGATTAGAAAGCCATATTGACATTTTTATACTGTAGCAGGAGTACAGTAAAGGGCATCAACAGTTGGCCGGTACGCTGTATAGAACGCTTCGTTGCCGTGTGACTACCACCAGTCGCACGTGGGCTAAAGGCACGTGAGGGTCGCCCGGTCCCCTACGCAGGCTGGAACCCGCACCGTCAGAATATAAGACAAGCTCGTTGCCTTTAGGCTACGAGCCGCCCAGGAGTGCAGGACAATTAAGGGAGTTACCGAAACCAGGAAGAACAAAGACAAGCACAATACTTTACGGTGTCTCACATGTTTGCTGACGACGTGAAAATCCTCTACATCTTTGATGTCACTGACACGAACCACATCACGAACGCCATTGTATCTGATTTGAAAACCCTTCTGTTATGGTGTGCCAAATTGGATATGTCGTACCCAAACGAGAAGTGCAGTTCCCTACTATTCCGTTGTACAATCGCGAGAGGAACCCTGGTTCTGGGTGGAAAACCAATAAGGTGTAACATTAAAAGAGTTGGGTCTTCCCTATCCCGGCTCACTGAACACTATGGAGCACACGGCAAATGCAGTTGGAAATTGGGTGTTGCACGCCAGAAAACACGCGGGTAACACCCAATTTCCGTCTGCTTCGGCTACGGTCCCAGTGATCGCAGTGACCAAGGTTCATTGAGATTGCACGTCGCAATCCAATCACACAACGTGTACTCCAAATCGCTCTCCATTCAGGCAAATGTAGTTGCTAAAGCTCGCCGAAGCATTGGACGACTATACAAAACATTCACAATGCACGATTTCATAGTCATCCAAACTCGACCGCTTTTAGATTACGCTGCAGTGATTTACAGTAATGCAAGAAAAAGTGATCGTCAGCAACTGGATAAGTTGCAGAGATCCTGCACTAAACATCTGCTGGGATTGTCCTCTAGAAGCTCTTACGCAAGACCTTAAAACTAGACCTGGTATAGCTCAGGCGGATGAAACTTAATATATGTCTTTTATTCGATGTCATACACAAGCGAGTCCATATCCCAAGTCTGGATCTGCAATTGAAAGATGGGTCAAAGGATAGCTATCGAGACAGGCACGACTTGCTAAAAATAGCAAGGCCTAGAACTCAGGCACGTAAGAATTTTTACGTGAACGTTTACGCAAAATTATGGAACAGGCTACTGTCCAAGCTGCGGTAAATCTTTCGTAAGGAGATTCGCACCTTGTTAACTGCTGAAAAGGCCACCGAACTACTGCGACAAAATGTCCCGGAGGAGATGGCATATGAAAACGGTTTAGCAGATTTCTTAAAATATGGTATCAATCGCCACCATCTTATCCTCCGGTATTCGACATCTTGACACCCCGTAACTGTTGGCTTCAAGAAACCATCCTGGCCTGCGGCGCAACAATACAGGAAAGTGCCACGGTGAGCTTTGCAAAAAAAAACATACAGATATAGTTAATAAATGTTGACGAACTTTTTCGTCCAAGACCGTCTTAACATCGATTTATTTGTAAACGAAGTGTTATGCGTATTGCTAAGCAATTCTCTTTCCTATGTGGAGGTATCAGCACAAACGTACAGAGTGCTTCACGACATCCGTCAAGGTTAATTGCTACACACATCGGCTGCCAGTAATGCATCGACCTGGAACAACATTCCTTGTGACAACATAAACAGAAACTGTTTTCAATCATCCATTGAAAAATACTATCAGATCAACGACAATCCGTATCTCACACTGTCGAGATAAATCCTGTTATTTTAGTTTCGATTACCTTTCTCTTCTTTACATTCGTCCTATAATATTAAATATTTCTTCAACATTTCCGAGTGCAACAGCCCAGGAGCAGACAACAATTTATAGTGTTCCGCGAAATCAAATACTGTATTTTGCGAACGCATGCAGCTGTTCGATAAACAAGATCCGTTGTAGAACTGCCTCGCATATACGAGCAGTCACTTAGTACGGCGATCACACGGCACAATGTGATCGAGAAATCCGTCGACCTTTCTTGGCGGTATTTAAATACATTAATTCCACATTTATCGCAATTACCGTAATTACCTTTCTACCTCCACATATTCGATATTTATCTTTGCGCCATCGTTGGCCACGACTAGGTCGATTTCTTCAGATGAAGGACCGAAGTTTCCAAACTAATAGATGGACCCATGAGAGGCAAAATGCTATAGACAAAAAAACTGATGGTACGGGCTATATGGCTTTAATGTTCATATATGGTTGCGGGCATCCGGTTTCGGATTTGCCTGTCACTGTGACTGGCCACAGGACGCCTGCGCCTACAGAGGGACCACGGGTAGCTTGCGCTGCACCACCCACACACCCCATATCCAGTGTAAACCCGATATGGGATAAGACCGAGAGGCACGTTGATGGGAGCCATGTTTCATCAACGGAGCCGGCCCACACTCATTCACAGTCAAACACAAGCACACTGTATTTGGGAATCACTCGCACACAAGGCAGTGACTGGACCGTAGTCCGCTCCACACTGAGTGCATCAAACCACTCTTCCAGTCTAATACGGCCACAAGGACTGTGCACCGCGTCCCCTCTAGTAATGCCCAACTGTCTCCGGGGGCCATTATGGACGACTTATTGGGTAATAAATAGGTAGACACCTTGTCATCATGCACAACAAGCCCAGTCACATCGGGGATGTCAAACAACAGCCACTCCATTGAAATTGTTAAACCATACGGCTATATCAACATACCTTCGTCAAATCAGAATATGAAGTAAGTTGATTATCAACGAATAAGCGACAAGTGAAAAATGTTCACAATTTACTCAAAAAAGCTACGAGCGCAATAAAATTAACGAAGATAACCACAGTTAGTGTAAGCAAGCTTGCCAGTTAATAAAAGATTGTTCAAGTAAGCTGAACAAACCAAATAAAGTGAAATGAAATGTATCCAGCTTAAAAAGATATAGATTAAGGGTATGTTGTTTCAGTCCAACTGCGTTGAAGGAGCATCATGAGTGTAACATCAGCCTCAACATATATATATATATATATATATATATATATATATATATATATATAAATTGAAATGAGACGAGAAACGGTTGCAAAAACATCTGTAGTATGGAAGCGAGGTGGAAACAAAGTAGTAGGGCAAAGGCAATGACCTGAGGAGCGTGTAGGAGGTCGGCGCGATTGGACATGAAGATAACAGTTCGAGTAAGAACTGTAAGGAGAATGCATGCTGCTTACCTAAACAACCCAAACGGATAGCAGTTGTTTTTCCATTCTCTCCCAAAGTGACAACTTCCACAGTGTCCAGTACATCAGCTGCGGTGGAGGCCAGCTCTCTTTCCAAATCCGCGTCAAGATCTAAGTCGTTGTCCTCCTCCAAGTTTGCACATTCATTGTTTTCCCCCTTCGAACTACTCTCAGTTTCCGTTGCAAGTGTTGTCAGTGACGTGGAGCGGCATGGGACGGGAGGAGCACCATTCGGGATAGCATTCCTGGTGCCGGATACCTCCGATTCCGTGCCCCATCCATTCGTGGCAATCGAATCCCGTTGATCGCGGTCGTGGTTAGACATAAAACTCTGGACCTCACGAATCATTAGCTGGGCAGCCATTAAGCCCGTGTCATCGTGTAGCTGATTGTGAGAATTAGTAATGCAATCGGTTAAACACTGTCGATTTCAAATGTTCATGACGGTAAGAAAACGTTGTGGTCATGGAATAGTAATGACAATAAACAGACACAAGACTGGACAGGGTAACGAGGAAAATCAGGTGGAGTGGAATGGGATAGCGCTCGACTCGGAGAAGTCGAGTGTCATCCATCGGGCAGCCAATCTGCATTCGCTCTTATGTCCCGCCGCGTCATGAACATGGTTTGTTTGCATCTGAAGTGAACGTAGACGTGCGTGCACGTGCGCGCACATGCTCAGTCGTGTGCAAACACCATCACAAATGGCCCAAAACAAGAGCACACAAACAGTGAGCAATGACCAACGGAATGCTGCGCTCACAGGGATCTAAGCAAGTGACAAAGAGGGTAGCTGTGGAAGCCTATGGTGAAAAATCCAAATTAAATCGCTGAGATCTGAATGGCTGAAAAGCACGTCTCGTAAATGCAGGGGGTGTAACAGAGTAAAGTAGAGGAAATAAAAATATCACTTATGAAAATGGTGGCGTAACACATGGGATCACAGGAAGTAAAAAAGCAAAAAGAAGGTGCGGATTCGAGAACATAAACTGCCTGAACTGAACTAGACTGTCTCAGCAACGGAGTGCAAATGGATGCTGCGATAGGGATGCAATCACAGTAAAAAGGGTTCGTCAAACAGAAGGCACCAGACGGGATGCCAAGTAGGCAACCTATGGACAATGAAGTTGGGTAGCTAGTGAAACGCCAGAGAAAGGCATCAGCAGTACGCCGGTACGCAGTACCGAAGGTTGTTGCCTTTAGACTACGGGTCGAGGGAGTGACATTTCTCGATCGCCATATAAACAGTCTTAAATTCGAATCACAGAGCAGCAAGCACCGCACAAGATTAAGACATGGCTAGTAGACGGCCTCGATGTGTTTTGGTTGCTGTCCCCTACGCGGACCACGTGTCTAAAGTGCGTCTGATGCTGAGCTAAGTGGGTGATTATGACGCGGGCATTGAAAACCGCGAGCAATTTGCCCCAGTGATGTCGCGTTGCTAAACACAGTTCAGTGTTAGATATGCTAAATGAGGAACGATATAGAGAAGAATGGATGACATGCGAAATCGTGAAGCCTCTAATGTTTGTGAAGTCAGTCTATCAGTCTACCCGAAGAACTCGTTATCCAGGAGCGCAAGGAAGAATGGTGATGAGCTTACGTATACTCCGGATGAGTAGTTGCTGCATCCCACACCTTACGTAAAAGATCTCGGTGTGCGCACATCCTGAAGTCAGTGGACAACACGAACAAACCGTGTGGAAACGGCTACGCATGCGTCTGCACTTGATCTGAACAGATTGCCACTCTTCTTTTCCATCATAAAACCAATGACCGCGTGTGGCTGGCTCACCGGCATATTGTGCGATTACTTGTGAGCGATGCAAAGACTGGAACGGGTCCAGTATGTAGCTAGCAAGCGCACTATCATTGTGCGGAGTATGTCGTAAGCAGACCAATGCAGGAGACTGGGGTTATGCACCCTGTCGTACAGTCGGTTTCGAGTGAACCTAATAATGACTCTTGAAAGTAAGCTTAGAGGTCTTTTCAAACAGTTTCAGTAGACTAATGACTTCACAAGTCTATTAAGGCTTCACAAAATGTTGACAAAAAATGAAAACATGAGAATTCTTCGTCTCAAGAGACTTAAATCATGAAAAGTGCTAATCCAGTATTTGTGAGAACATAATTACTAAAAAAGCGGAGCCGCACACAAAGAAACCCACCGCTACATCTTATTACGCCTGAAGGCGTCCTTATCGATACGCCTGTAGATGTAGCTTTTAACAATTATTTGGCGGATTCTTCCACTAATGAGAACCATATACTTTGGGATCATCCAACACAGTACTGTGGGCCATGTATCACTAACGTAGGACTTCGACAGTGATTGAATCAAGTGTCAACTTGACGCTTTAAAGACTACATTTCGTACAGGCCCAGATGGAATCCCTCCAATACTTATAAAGTCCGGTGGGAATGATGTTCCCTGCTTACTACTGAACTTGTTTACTACATCAATGTCAACTGGGTTTTATCCCGATCGGTGGAAACTAACGATAGTGACACCACGCCATAAATCCGGGCCGAGACATAACCTTAACAACTATCGGCCCATATATAACACTGCTATAATTTCCAGAATCATGGAGTGCCTGTTAAAAAGAAAATCGCTAAATTCCTAACAGTAAACAACCATTTGTCACATTTGCAGTCCGGATTTCTTCAAAAGCGTTCAAGTGTCACTTGCCAGCTAGATTTCGTTGATCACTTAACGAAGGCCTGTATCGTATGTCACTCGGACCTTCAAAAAGCCTTTGATAGAGTTTCGCACAGAATGATTATGCATAAACCTCGCGTTTGTGGAATCGCAGGCTCAATAAATATCCTGGTTAGAAGCTTACCTCATTGGTCGAAAGCAGACAGTCAAGATAGATGAGTATCTGTCGGAAACAAGAGATATGACTAGTGGCGTGTTACAAGGTAGTGTACTCGGCCCTCTTCTTTTTTGATATATGTAAATGATCTTTTCCCTGCAATAAGGCATGGTAGACCTTATTTGTTCGCAGATGATATAAAAATTCTGTATGCTACTGATTCTCAATCTCCGCCTTTTATATCTGTGATGCAAAGTGACCTAATCTCCCTGGAAAACTGGTGTGTCAGATCTTCCATGAAATTTTCAACATCTAAATGCAGTATTATGTGCTATGGATGCTTGATTCCACCTGAATGTTTGTTTTTGCACGGAATCCCACTGCCTTTATGCGAATCGATATGTGACTTAGATCTCCTATACTCATGTTCGTTGAATTTCAATGAACAAGTTGAGTATAAGGTGGCTAAAACACGACAGACTATTGGAATGATAGGCCGCTTGTTTATAACGAGCGATGTTAAACTCCTGTCATTCGAACTGTACGCCAGACTATTATTAGAATACGGTGCCACCACTTTTAGTAGCATTGGAAGATGCGACACGAGTGCAGTCGAAGCTACACAAAGGTCAATTACCAAAAGAATCATGGGCTGCACCTCTAAGCTCAGTTGTAAAGATAGATGTTATTTGTTAAAAATCGAACCGCTATAGCTTCAAAGATTAAGGCTGAATTTATATCTATTATTCAAAAGTGTCCACCGACTGACATACACTAGTTACTACCAGGCGGTGTTCCAAGAATCTTCACCGTATGACCTAAGAAACAAAGACTACGTAATAAAACTACCTCGTTGCCGCACACATCTGCGGTACAACAGCTTTACACACAAATATCCCACCTTATGGAATAGATTGCCTCGGATCATCAGAAGTATATCTTTGCTTCGAACATTTAGGATGCAACTAAAAGAGTATTTAACTGTTAATGAAGTTAAAGCACTGTTTCGTGTCCGTTGCAGACGAATGGGTGTATGGTAACGGGCCTGATAACATCTAAGTAATTGCGGAATTCGCAATACAAAAGTACAGGTAAATATGGCGAGAAGGTCTTGTCGACAAAACGTGAAATACAGTGTTCCCTTATCCTGAGTTTTTCTTGCTAGCTAACTTAGATATGTCTCGCATTGCTTGCTCTTACTTTGTCACATTTTTCGGTATTACTCGAATTGATGACCCACTGATGGCCTACGAAAATATTGGCACATCGATAGGTTGAATAAATGAGATCTATCTGATTTTATTTTAGTCCATAGTGTTATATTCTTCTTGTCACTCAGAGTAATGGCCCGTTGATAAGCTATGAAAACATGGGACCATTGATGATTTGGATGTATGGGATTCATCTTTGATTATTTTTCATCTAAACAGCTCCTCATTGTGTTCTTATTTAGCTTGAAGGCTCAACGATGGAATTTGAAAAATATGCGCACATTGGTGGGTTGGATAAGAAAGCTTTTTCCTTAGCCTGCATATAGTGCCTCATTTCTATTACAAAGCTAGGTGAAAGGCATGCGTGCCTGCAAGACATGGATCTACCGAAAGGGTGAATTGTTGATGGCTGCAACTAACCCACCAAATTTATGTACGCAAATCCACTTGCCATGCGTTATGGCATCTTATCTCTTGTGTGAGTTACGTCGTTAATTCTGATTGACTTATGTTTCACGGTTGATGCTGTTCTCAGTTTAACCGTCTGTCGCGTTATCGTGTCTGTTCGCACACTTTCACTAACTATAAATTGTTATTATATACCTAAGTTATGAATTCTTAAATTACATTTTCCATGTACATATTGTCACTCACCTCCTAAACTTTGTTATTTTGCTTTCTTTTCCCAACCATCCGCCTAAACGTATCTGAAAGTTTTGCAATTGTCGTGGATTCCGACGAATTTTGAAACGAAATCAATGGCGCAAGAATCATGACCACGAGTGTCTTCGTACAGCAATATTGTAGAACCAGTCTGCATTTCTTTTGTACCTCACCTAGTTGAGAATATGTCAATTATTATTACATCTAGGTGATTTCTTACGCTGAAGCCGCTTCCCTACATGTGCACACCAAACAGCAATCGCGTGCATCGGAAGCGGAAAACTCACGATGTATGGTTCGAGCGTCGAGTGGATACACTTTGGAAAAGTTTGCTCGAGACAACAGGCGAGGTGAAATCGATGTCAGAATACAAAAAATTCCTGGACGCCTATAGTACGGGTCTCAAATTTAGAGAACGCATTGCACCTTAATAGGACGTCACACATCCGAAACGTGGTATCAGTGTGCGGTAAAAAAGAACGATATTTCCCGTGCGTACCCGGTCTAACTAGGTAGAGCAACACCCATGTCATGTCTTCCAGCTCCCTATCTTCAGTATACAGTAATAATCATCATACTCACCACCAACACCTCCGCTTAATGACAAAGGGGATGATCCACTAGGGCAGTGAGCCACCAACACTGCGCATCTTTAGCTGGTGTAGGAGGACTTCATGGCTCATCTTGGCGAACGTTGTGCTGAAACCAATGTGGATCACATCGACTGACTCCCTCCGATTCAGCACTTGTGACTATTCGTGCCGCGTCACAAGTAAGCGGTCTTTCATGAAACCGTGCTGTGCCTGTATCAGGAGGTCTTTCGACTCCAGCAGCTGCAGCATACTCTTCTTCACAATCTTCTCGGGCACCTTGGTCAAAACAGAAGTCAGATAAATTGACCGATAATTGTCTGCCTTGCTTGGGTCACCGCGCTTTGGTATCGGTTTCGCTACTGAGCAGTTCGAGTCACTAGGTAATACACCATCGGACAGGTACAAATCAGCAATGAAGACGAGTTGATGGCCGATAGGGACTTAAGAATCAGCGGGTGGAGTGCCTCAGGACTAGCAGGTTTAGTGCCGTCAAGACTGGCGAGTAAATTATGTACACCTTCCACACCTTAATTCAAGTTGTCGAGTTCGGTTGGGACTGTACAAGTAGAACTCGGAAAAGATACGGAAGCAAAGTGCACAGCCAATGACAACACACACTCGGTTCTCCAAGTTAGAGGTTATCTATCAGAGCCATCTAGTAATTATATGTCAACCGTAAGCCTCAGGCGCCGCTTCAAGTCAGCAAAGATCCCCTTGGGGGCCGTCCTCATCGCGGCTACAAGCTGTGCTTCGAACTGCTGATGTTTCTGTGTTTTCACGCGGTTGCATAGATGCCACTGCTCTTTGTGCACCATGTAATCGTCGAAAATGCCAAACTGGAAAAATGTATTCCATAGTACGCGTGGTCTTCGAACCATCAGACCATAGTGCGCGTCGAACCATCGTGGCGCTTCACTGGTCCAGATTTCCGATACTTGAGGGGCATCAACCCAGCGTACAATGAATCTACACCCGCTTTTATATTACACTAACAGGTTTCATAACGTGTGAGGCCCAGAATTCGAAGCTATGCTTCATGGTTGACAGGTCGGAACGCAAACTAATAGGCTAGGCGTGGACAAAGACGACCTCTTAGGACCGCCTAGTGGTATGCATTCATTCGGTACCCTTCAGACACGTACATCCAAGGGTACTGAAGTTACGACCAGGTTGAGAAGCAAAGATTTGAGTCCATGAATCGTGCGCGTCAGTGGCGGCCGATTGACCGAATTAGCAACTAGAGAAGTGGCGTTTATGTGTTGTTCGCTTTGGGAACACCTGCATCACTTTGGTGAATGAATGACAGCAGCCTATGTTACAAAAACGGAACAATGTTCGACGGAACCAGGTATACCAGTGAACTCGCATAGCTATTTCAATTGCTACCAGGCCAGGCAGCCTAACCGATGCGAGTGTCCCATTATGTATTGCTCGTTCTAATCCATACAGGAGAATCACTCGATAGTAAAACAGGACCCTACCAAAGGTACTAACAATAATCACCACATATGTTCCAAATACAATCGCAGAGATCGAACGGGTGGAGATTCGCTTCGAAGTAAACAAACATCCAGAGATTGCGAATCACTGTCCACGCACCACACAATGAGCGTTCTAAATGAAACCAGGCATCGCTTACGTCAGTACCGGTGATGTTAGCCGAATCGGACCAGAACCGCTTGTTGAACTAACCTTAACCACGGGCACGCCTAAAAGTACCCCGCATTGTGATTTGCAAAACTCACATGACGAACAGATAGAACAGTGCTGCTAACAAGTGAAGAAGAATGGTCGAGTCCCTCTAGATAGGTCAGGTGTAGAATGGAAACGGTGAGAAAACTCACCTCTCTGGCAATCATTCGGTGACGCCGGGCACAGCGCAAGGCCCAGTCGAAGCGTCCCAAAGCGGCAAACGCATTGCTCAGTGACCAATGGGCACGGCCCTCGCCCACACGATCCCCAAGACGTCGGGCGATCAGTAAATGACGAAGATGATAAACAATCGCTTTCGCTGGATCCCGCAATAGAGTGTACGTATTGCCGAGGCTGTAACAAGCTTGTGCCTCCAGACAGATTTCATTGAGCTGCCGGGCAATACGTAAAGCGTTGCTGCATAATGGTGAAAAATAAAGAAAGTTTCCAAGCGATTCCGAATGTATACCGTACCAAACCCAACAAGAAATAAGTAACGAATCCCCATGGAACATTGGACAAATGATAAGTTGCAAACGTTGATGGCTGCACTGGTTAACAGGTTCACCGATGTGGTGTATGTTATACAACACATTACCCAAACGGTGGGATGGGAGATAATTGCCTACTCGAACAAATTCATTTACATATTATTCAAGAGGCGCCTACAAATTTGTTAATTTAGTTTAGTGTTGATATTTAGATCGAAGCTTCAAAACCGAGTTTTTTTCTCATCCTGATCAACATTCCATAAGGTCTAGGGATAGTGTAAAGGTGTAAGGAACAGAAGATACGTCTATATGTGTGGTGTTTAAGGTCCACGAGTCTGCTTTGTAATCATGAGATCGTGGGTTCTAACCTGCGTAGGTGACCGAGCGACCCTCGCAGTAACCGTAGCCCACGTGCGATCGGAGGTGGTTGCACGACAGTGAAACTTCGGTAACACGTACCGGAGTACTGCTAGGATGGTCACAGACCACATGGACTGCGCCCCGACGAGGAATATAATACCATTTATTTAGTTTTTTTATTTATGAAGTTAGGAGAGTTACGGAATGCCTAAACGAACAAATGAGGACAGTGGGGTGGCGGTTGTGCCGCGTCCCTCAGTTTCGTTCACACACACACACTTCCCATACAGTGTGTAAACCGAAAGGCAGTTTCATGGAGATTACGACTGATTCGGAGCCAGCTCACGCGTCATCAGAATGTAAGACACTAGTAATGGTCGACTGTGGGATGTAAACGCAATAGAGGTTCATAGGATGATGGATGCTGGATCGCTGTCTGCGCCAACCATGCTGGAGCCTTTCGTGTCGTCATACAGGTTGGTTAGATGTGAGAAACACCTCACCTATGGTGCCTCAGTACAAGACAGATAAAAAGATGTGGAAAAAGGGAAACAACAAATAATAACAAGTATTGTTTTGTAATGTATCGGTAGTGAGATCACGGTTGGAGAGAAGAAATCAAGCGAAGAAAAAAGGGATAAGAAAATCGCAACACATGTGCAGTGGGGTAGATACAGAGGTACGTCAACATGCGTATTCAATCATGTGTGTTCTACCTTGGGACTCCAACCAAAAAGTCGAGAGACAGCAACCGACTTCGAAGTGAGAGATTTCGTTCCTCTTGACCAAATCATCGGTTGGTCTTCTCTCCTTGCATCCGCACCCCCGGCACGAAAACAACGCATGTCACGGAAGTCCGTGTGCCGGCATGCGAGAAACGTGGCCTAGCCATCGGGGCCTGGTGCGCGAAATAACGGTGCTCTACAGATCCCTTCCTCTTCATGTGTCATAAACAAGGGGTCGAACACGCTCATTGTTTGAGGGGTGTTCCACTCACAATAAAAGCCCAACTGTTAAGGCAACTAGCCTCCACGTCTCTCAATGTGATGGGTCAGGTTTCACAAGCACAACTTGCGCCTAATATGTATGCGAATAGTATTAACGATTAGCCAAGCGGAAGAGTGAAAAAAGACGGTGCAATTCGTATCCCCATACCAATTTGGGATCTTCTGGATCCAGTGATCCAGATGGGAGAGTCGGATAGATAGGCTGCGTTTAAGTAAAAAATGAATAGTGCGCTAGTCAGATAGACGGCAACTATCAGGCAACTCGATCTAATGGGTACAAGTGTGGCCAAACTGTGGTGAGGAAGCAACATGTGTACAGAATCAACCACACATAAAAGTCTAAACACGTAGGGGAAACAGCTGAACTTTATACGTGTTGGAATGTTTCGTCGAAGCCGACAAAAAAAAGCAGGGATGCCTACGACGACTTGGTGGAACTGTGTTACGAAACTCCTCAAACTACGATACCAAAGCCGACGCGTAAGTACCTTTGGGGGAATGAAACTAGCTAAGACAATTCACTTTTATTACCAATTTCGTCATACTCTGAATCCCCTTTTGAGGGCAATCGAGAGAGCATGAGATTCCAACATCTCAGACAGCACGCAATGAAGTGTCAGAGATGCTAGCTTGAGGCATCCATATATGCACAGCAACAGTTATTAGTCAATCAGTAAAATTGACCAAGATATCTGCCTGATGCACACAACACAATGGGGGACGATAGCATCGTCGACACAATCATAATGGTATTGGCTACAAATCTCAGATGAGCGGTTTGCAGTTCACTGATAAGCTATCTTGTAGTCTTCAAAAGTTGAGGAAGCCTTAAAAATCCAGTTTGGTAATCCTCCTCAAAGAATTAACAGATTTTTCTAAACGCTGACTACCAAAGGCTGAATAACTACGAGCCGAATGCTAGGGTGCCAAAAAGCCAAACGTCATAATTCGTGTTGCCATACAAAGTAAGAGAAAAAACGGCAATAAGAAACAAGCAGGATGTAACCAGGTCACTAAATTCAAATTATTAAGAAGTTAACAGTAAGTAGCTGAACAAGAGTGAAACACAGCATATAAATGGAAATAAAAATATACAGAAAGTAATTTATAATCGGTAAACGGAAGGGTTGACACAATTGGTTAACTACAAGCGTATCTCGCTGACATCACAATGCAGCCAGCTCGGACGTGAGAGTGCTCTGTAGTGATGCGTTAAGTCGAGTGGTTCTCTACCGAAAGTCACTGTTTTCCGTCAATCTCTTAATGGTCATACCCTGCGATGGTTATCATGAGAATCCAACTAATCAGATCTAGTATAGTTAGAGGATATGCGCCTCAGGAGAAAATTGATGAGCAAGACACCAAGCAAACGGAAGGGATGTAGACTAAACAGGGGACGCAGTGATCTGTTGGTCCGAAATGCCAAGTGGTGGACACCAGAATTACTCATTCGGTAACCCTATTAGATATAAGCAAAGCGTGGTAAACAGTGGGAATAAAAAAACTAGTGCATCATTGTCTTCAATGCGTATCAGTCGTGTTCCGCATCCAAGGTAATACAAGCCGCGCTGAGCGTCGCGCACCATATCCTTCATCGTTTCTATGGGTGACAGAAAAACCTTCACATAAATCCTATCAATGCACGCAACAACTGCTTCAGTGGGTTGGTCATCAGAGATGACACAGTTATCCAGGTACGTATACCAAGTAACTTGCTACCTTCTCAAGCGGAGTCTAGTATGGTTAAATACCGAGACAGTGAGCTACGGCATCTTCCTCTTCATAGTATTATTCGGCCGCGATTCACATCACTATGTGAAATCCATGGTATTACTCACCATAACCGTAGCTTGACCAGCTGCTCAATGCTAACTAGCATGACGCTTAGAGAGCCGGTGCATCGCAGAATAATGGTTCAGTCCATCCATGAGCTCATTCGTACTGTGCATGTAGAGGGCAACACCTAAGTGCACACTATTTCACTCTACCAGTAGTTTAATCATCATTCTACCTAGCAGTTGCTTCACTATTGCTACATCGGGTTCCTTCAAATATGGATGTCCAAGATTTAAGGCTGTCACGTCTAAATGTTGAAGAAAACATCAGCAGTTCGTATTGGGTAGTTATTCTCATGCCTGCGAAAGTGGTTGTTAGCCTGACCTCCAAACGAAACCCATACACGTTTGTCGTACCATTGATAACGATGTCTAATGTGTCTCTGTCCAGTTTGTAACAGCTGCTCACACTTAAGTTTGGATAAATGCATGTGCATATGTTGTATTCGAACTGCCATTGGACACGGGTGACGCCAATCTATGTATATATGTATACCGATTGAATTCGACGAGGATACTCATACCGCTTTTGTACGGCTAACTTAGTGCATTAAAACGATATTCGAGCAAACCGAAAATAACATTACCAGAACATGAAGAAGATGAGTTTATGACATACTCATGTTGATTTCAGGTGTTGCGAATCCAAGGCAAATTTGATCGATGAGAATTCCGTGGAATGCTCAAAAGTGCGGTTTCTCTGGTGCCGAAGAAAGCACTATTGTATGCGGAATAGAAGCACCATGAGTACGCTCCCATTCAATGTACTAATCCAGTCCAATAAGGCGGCGTATGTGGTACGTTTGCTTGCGTGATGAGTAATCTTGGGGGGGGGGGGGGGGGGGGGGGGGGGGTGGGGGGGGGGGGGGGGGGGGGGGGGGGGGGGGGTGGGGGGGGGGGGGGGGGGGGGGGGGGGGGGGGGGGGGGGGGGGGGGGGGGGGGGGGGGGGGGGGGGGTGGGGGGGGGGGGGGGGGGGGGGGGGGGGGGGGGGGGGGGGTGGGGGGGGGGGGGGGGGGGGGGGGGGGGGGGGGGGGGGTGGGGGGGGGGGGGGGGGGGTGGGGGGGGGGGGGGGGGGGGGGGGGGGGGGGGGGGGGGTGGGGGGGGGGGGGGGGGGGGGGGGGGGGGGGGGGGGGGGGGGGGGGGGGGGTGGGGGGGGGGGGGGGGTGGGGGGGGGGGGGGGGGGGGGGGGGGGGGGGGGTGGGGGGGGGGGGGGGGGGGGGGGGGTGGGGGGGGGGGGGGGGGGGGGGGGGTGGGGGGGGGGGGGGGGGGGGGGGGGGGTGGGGATTTCCCAATTAGGCCGGAATGCTTCCGTTCTTTGTTGAAGGAGTGTGGGCCGGCTCCGTTGATGAAACGTGGCTCCCATCCGCATGCCTCCCGGTCTTATTCCTTCGGGTTTACACCGGATATGGGGTGTGTGGGTGGAACTATGGGTGGTGCAGCGCAAGCCACCCATGGTCCACTTTGTAGGCGCAGGCGTCCTGTGACTGTCCCCATGGACATCACAGTGACAGGCAAATCCGGATACGGACGCCGCCAAATCATACCAAGCAACTACTTCGAGCGGTTATTAGACGATGGTTTGGACTGGTGGTGCGTACTGGTTAGGTGCGTACGAGTGCGGATGTACAGCGCCCCATTTCGTCCAATATAGCAACAGTAGCCTGGGAATTAAGGTGAGACCGAAAGAGCTGCAGAGCAGGCGAACTAATTCTGACAGTCCGTCACCGGGTGGGGCATCCACGTAAAAGGACAATGAGAAGACAGTCACTCATGACTTGCCTGATAGTAGAGAGAAAGTGAAAGTTAATAATTGGACAATTTTAGTTGCGGTGGCCCTACATCTGGCTCAGCAGATCAAGATAAATCTATGCAAAATAAATGCTGGTCAGTGAAGTACGACCTTTAGTAAAAGAATAAAAATCAGAAGGCATCAGAAGTGCGATAGATGCAGTACCGACATGTCCCTGCCGCGTAACCACCAACAGTCGCGCGTGAGCTACGGATACTGCGAAGGTCACCCCGTCCCCTACGCATGCTCGAATCCGTGCTATCGGAGTACAAGACAAGCCTGTGATCATTGAGGCTACGTGCCTCAGTTGGAGAAAAAGTCAAAAAATGTACGCTCTGCTAAGGCAAAGGTATCCTTAAGCTTAAAAAGAATAGCATGGTAGGCCGTCCTTAAATACGGCTATATATGAGCAACGAACGGAGTGTAATGAAGTGATCAATACGATCTTCAGCAGAGCGCAGGCTTGTACTGATTGGCGAAGCACTGCGCCACGACGATTAGGAGTAGCTTTCAGGGGCCTGTGATGGGACTGAGGCCTCGATGATTCTAGAATGACGCTCTATAGCTTCCTTGAAGGGAGGATGACATCTAAATAAATAAACAAAGAAATTTTTATATTTACCGACAGATGGTACACGGTCCCCCACTCGTCTGAATACAATCCCGAGTGTATTGGGGAGTACTTCTAAATAGAGTGGATGGCTCAATCTTAAAAGTGACTCGCATAGGCGCAGTGAGACCAGAACGAATATGATGCTTCATCTACGATGCTGGAAGGTCTGAGAAATTCGCTCGAGTGTTTCAACGCGAGATGAGGGCATAGAGCGTCGGTTGAGTAGTTCTATAAAAGTTGATCACACGGTCCGAGAGCAACCGAATTGTTCGACGTTATCGGGATCGTCACATGCATCGATGCAGTGCGCAAATGTGCGGTTCGGGGGATTTTATCATTCATCGTTCGCAACAGCACCGCGGTGCATTGTACTGATGCTTCGGTGTCTTATCAAAGAGACGAGAGAAACGAGGTTTACTGTAAACCCTAGACGTCCAAACATACGTTTGAAATCAAGATGCCTACACCTTGCCAAAAACACAAGTCAATAGCGAACTGCATGGGATGGCATCGGAGAATACTGGGAACAAGCACTTCCGCTACAAGGCAGACGAAACCGCCGCCTTCATGCATTACACTATCCCACATCCGGTAGACAAAACAGGATTCCATTGACTAGTAGTGCGTGGGTATATGTAACACGAATCCAAACGAACGCAACATATTCAGTGTTTTTGCTGAACAACCAAATTAAAAAACCTGTAACAATCCAGCAAATTCGTTTGCGGTCCCAGTGGTCGAAGCGCAGAGGTTTGCTTTAAAGTAAACTCTGCTTCAACTGAGATTGCGTGTCGCAATCCAGACACAAATTGGGTACGACAACAATGTTCCCAGTATTAGTTTTAGCAAATTGCAACTGCACAGATCGCTTGGAAGAGTCGCTCTTGTCTCAATTTAACGGACACTCTATCTCCACTACGTTAAGATACCAGTAGGAAGACCGAGTTTTTAGCTCATGCTTGATACTTCGGCTAAATAGTATAGTGCTCGGTGTCCACCGGGATTCCTCCTTTGGACTCCAATAGGCTTTCCAGGTATTCAGCATCCGGCGTAGTGCCCAATAAAACTGCGATAAGCACACGCTCCCGCTCCACAAACGACAACGGATCTCCAATTTAACCGACAACAAGATGGAGTGAACACGTTGTCTGTAAAATGACCTTGCATATCTACCTAACCATGTGCTCCTGCAGCATGTCCATCATCCGCTGGGAAACTAGATAAAAAGTCAAATATAATTCCCAACTAGGTAGGGCATGATTATAATTAGGCGTACCTCGAAATAAGCAGCGACGCGATCTGTCTGGATCCATCGCTATGAGCGGACACAAACTGGCAGATCATCAAAGCAGAGAAGACATAGGTTGCCATTTGTCAACATTGCGATTGTTCTCATCAGTCGCAACTTATGTCATCTCTCTGCTTTGACGAAGTGGCAGAAAGGGGGCCAGTGTTCCACGTAACTGACAGATCGCCGACAACAGTACAGCACAGTTATTCCGTTTGATACGGAAAACGAGCAGCAGGAGACCTGATATAAGTACAAATATTTGTGACGTGGGTGCACAGCCAATCCACAGCCTGTCAAATCGCTCAGAGCATTGCGTCGAGCGCCTTGTGAAGCAGTTTAATCAGTAGGGTTGCCAGTATCTCTACTGATCAGTGATCGCCCTACACCATGGATAGTCCCGTGGATCCGCCCTCACGCGCAGAATTTGAGTGTGAGGCCGAACTGTTAAAATCGAATATGGTCGCGAGAACAGATAGATTTCATCCAGCCCGCTTCAAATTCGTAAGACCTGCTCTTTTGGACGATTTACACAGCTTACTAGTGAGTTCATGGGAAAAGGAATCTGTTCAAGCAGACTGCAGTCGCTCCATCATAGTCCAAATATACAAGGGAGGCTCCCGTTCGGAATGCGACAGTCACAGAGGAACCGGTCTGATCACAATTGCCACTAAATTACTCGCGTGTCGTCCTCCACAAACGGACTGGCATCCAAGAAAGCCAGGTTCGTGAGGAGGAAGACGAATTTCGTCGAAGTCTCCGTAGTATTAATCACATAATAACATTGCAACAACTATTGGAGCACCGCCATATATATTGGCGACCCACCGTAGTCGTGTTGCTAGATATTAAATGAACCTTAGATTCGGCTGATCGATATGCCCTTTGGGACTATCTACTCAGGAAAGGCTTGCTCGAAAAATACGCAAAAATTATCAGAGCGCTTTATGAGCGCAGCCTGGGCAGAGTTATGAACTAGGGCAAGCTGCCGCCGCGCTTCCATCTCCAGCGGCGTGAGACAAGGTTGCCCGCTCTCAGCTTTCCTTTTTTAAATTCGCCATCGACTAAGTCATGTAGATTGCACTCAGTGGACATGAATTGGAAGGCGTGTGGCTTCAGACAGGTGATCGACTTCTTGACTTCAGGCGATATTGTCCTCAGCTGTGACAGCTCACGTAGGTGTCAAGTAGCCCATGATAAATGAGCTCTGACTGTGAATCGTTTCGGGCTATGATTCGCACCCGCGAAATGTATACTCCTCATCCCAGATTAGCAGGAAACCACTCCTGCGCTGATCATTGGTGGTGATCAGCTAGAAGTTGCCGAGAGATTCAGGTATCTCGACAGGTAAATCGGCGCCCGTGGGATCGAGACCACCAACCATATAGCAAAAACTGAGGCTGCGTTCAGCACTGGTGTGTCTGAATGATCTACCTCTAGGAGATAGGGCGACAAATTGCGTTTACAGAATCAGCTGAAAAGACTGTGAAGGAGTATATATAGGTCAAACAGGGAGG